GTGAAGAGCAAAAGCCATTTTTTCGTTTTTTCCCGGAGGAAATAGCAGAAAAAAATAGTTTTGCTCTTCACTAAAATTGATGTAACTCGGCAAAAAAACGTCGTAGAGAGCTCAGAGACACCTCATTTTGTAGAGAATTGGTTGCTCTATCATTATAGACTGTTAAAACAAAAAACTTTCGCGACCATTGGTTCCAAAACCACGGTTTTCTAGAAAACCTACTTCCCAGCATTTTGGACAAAAGTATCCGCTAGACAAAAGAAAGAGCACGTCGAGAAACCCTTAAGTAACCAGCGGACAGCTCGATACGTTCAGCCGTTCTTAAGATAGCCTATACCAACTTTCTCATGTAACACGCCTATTGATGATTTATACGCATACGACGTGCAGATGTTGACTGCTGTTCTGATTCACTCATATCTTCGAAATCAGCCATTTTTAATTGATTGTGTACCACTGAGTACATCAGATACTGATGAACCGAAATCGCCTTCTTCACCATCATTGCCATCGTCGATTTTAGGACGAGAACTAAGAAAACAAAAGGTTTTTCATTTCAAACAATTTCAAAAAACAGTCAGTTATAGATTAGAAAATTCGAAAATTTCGTTATCTAGTTTGGTATAGGTTTCAAACTCATGATTTTGGTTCGAACAAAAATATCTAAAGACAATGTGCAAGAAAGGAAACAATGTTCTTATGATAATCTTAACAACAGTACATAATGCTTATACAATCCAGTGATTCATGGAAACAGCTCGTTTTATTTTTCGTGTAAGCAAATCATTCCTTTACAAAATAAAAACTACATATATTAATGAATGATTAATAAATATCTACTTTTGTCTGCCACGTATGTAGGATCATCATTGTTTCGAAAACGTTTTACACGTAAAAGATGATTTTGAGTTTTTCTCTTCTCATTGTGGATATCGCTATGAAAGCGATTTGAAAAGTCAAAAGCCTATGTATTGGATTATCTTTTTGTCGATTTTTAAAGACCTTGGACAACAGTGCTTAATGTGTGCATTCTCTATTCACTCGGTGATAAAAAGATTATTACGGACTTTCATTGTAAAACAGACAAATAACATAATATTCTACTACGTAAACAAGTTGTTATTGATATCACAGTCCGATTCAGTTCATGTTAGATACGCGGATTTACATCTATGAATTATACATCGATAATAACCGAAAAGATTTGATCATATGATTTTATAACAGTTTTTTTTCATGGAAGTAATACACGGACGATTTCCAAAGCAAGTAAATAAATGCAATACGGTATGCATTTAAAATGATGAACAATTCGTAGTCTAAGCTAAATGTTCTAGTTTTATTTCGAAGAACAAGAAAACAAAAACATTCTTTGTCCGGCTTATTTCTGGTATGATTTTTCATCAGAGAAGTCTATGCAATTGAAGATAGCATAAAAAATACTTTTACCCTAAATGCTATAGTCCATTAAAATTTTTACAATACTATGTTGAATAATATAAAATGAACGATTACTACATCGATAAACATAAAAGGCATGTATTGTTTAAAACAACAAGCAAACTGCTAAGTTCAACTATTTTCAAAATCTCCGTATTTGAGACAAATCTTTTCTTTCATGATTCTATACCATAAATTTGAACTAGTACACTGCTTGTTTTCTTTGATGTTACCGTTTTTTCGTTGGTTCCATTGCATCTCTACAATCGTATATTTCTGTTTCCATTTCTGATAGAAACGATCCAGCTTGAGATGCATCCTCTGCACTTTCTGGTGAACAAATCTAAGTATTAGTAAAACAATTCACATAATATTATGTATGAACGTTTCTTCAGAAATAAAATCTTTTACTTTTTCCTGATATTTTTTTCTTGTTAAAGTCATTTCATGATGTGTAGCCTTTTCTTCGTCCTCTTGCTATCGGAGAGTTTCTTTCGCAATCTGTTGTTTTAATGATGATTATATAGAAGTTGTGAAAAACATTTCTCGAAGATGGTCATCAAATATTTCCTTTTGATCATTATCGTCATCATCAATATCCATTTCGTCATCCGGAAGAAGTGTTTTAGAATTATTTATAATTAAGCCTGTACCTGATGCTGGACGTTTTGCTGGTGTTGATAAATCTTCAGGTTTATAAATATATAATCAACAAAGATAGGCGAACTTTACTTGAAATTCTACTTTTTTTACCTGATTTAAATTTGAATTCGTATTTGTCATAGCTTCATCGTCATCTGATTCCTTTTGATTAGTTGATGCTCCAAGTTGAAATCGATCATGATGTTGCTATAAATCAGTAAAAACAAAACATAATTTCAAGAGTATCTATCGAACAAGAGGATCATGCTTCATTGTAAAATCCTATCTGTCTTATTTTCTGAACCGAGTCGAGATAGGAACTATTTATCACGATGATTTTATATTCTCTTCCTTAGGAATTTCACTTGTGAATAATCGAGTGCGATGTTAATATGGAGCTGTCCTATATTCAATACTGAGTTATGAGTTCAAAATAGAATTTAAAATTTTCAATATCTGTGTATATTCTCGAACGTTTTGAAAAGAAAACATTTTTCAACGTAGGTTCGTCTACGTCTAATGACATACTTTTTTTTATTAAAAAAATTGATTACGAAACACACTTTTCACTGTGGTAGATGCTCTTCTTATTCGATCTACTTGTATGATCGCGATTACTTACAATTGATACATCACGTGAAACTAAATGTATCCTCTTCATTATTACTCGATGTTGGTTCAGCTAAAAAATAGAATTTTAAATTTAATACATTTTCCTGCATTTTTTATTATTAATAATCTTACTTGCTCGATAGAATGATGTTGTTCGTCTTACAGCTGCCGTTGTATTACGTAATTTTTCACCATTATTTTTATCCTTGTCTTCTTCATTTTCATCTTCAGTACATTCATCACCAACCAGATTCGGATTCTTTGTATCATCGGGCTTTTTCTCTGAATGTAGAACATAGGCCGATCATGGATTTGATTTGAGAGTATTTTGTGATGGAAATTCTTTATATTTATTAGCCATTAATTGAAGAACATTTTGTTCACTGAATGTTTTTTGTTGGGACGAGCCAACAATGATCACTTCTTCACCTGAATCATCATCGATGGGAGCAATTTTTGCTAAGTGTTGTCATTCTTGTTGCTGCTGCTGTTGTAAAGGTTGTTTCTTAACAACTATCGGACGTTACATTGCTGGAGGTGATGATGGCGATGCTTGGGGAATCAAATGAGCAGTGTGTTTATGTCATATGCGAGCTAATATTCAACGGTAAAAAAAATTATTATTAACGAAAAGCCGAGTTACAGCAGATATTCTTAATCCTTTAAAGCCGAATGTCCCTTCCAAGAGACATTAGTATAATTACGATAAAATTTAATAGAATGTGGGTGTTGGTGTTTTTGCGTGTGGCTGTGGCTGTGGGTGGGTGTGGGTGTCGATGTGGGTGGGGCTGTATGTGTGAGTGTGAGCTGGAGTTGGTGTGAGTGGTTGTGGATGTGGGCGTTTGTGTGGGTGGGTTTGGCTGTGGGTGGAAAAGTGGTAGTTTCTTTTGTTTCCATAGACACAACCGGACAGCACATCCGCAGCGACGCCGACACGCACTTGGTACTAATCAGGAGTACCTTAAATTTGCATGAGTTCGATTTCTATGCAATCCATTTTTTGGCGGATAAAAACTTCCCAAAATCGCGATTTGGTTCAAAATGGTGATTTTGTAGAAGGTCTCGTGGACGATAGGAACTGTGTGGAGGGTGAATATTTTTCAGAACAAAGTATTGAATGAAATCTCTCGATAGGGAAAACTTGAAGTCTATAACACTATTCATTTATTAGATAGAGATATGCACAAAATACCGAGAAATTACCATCTTTATCCTGTACCTCGTAGTATTGGGCAACTCATCAATAGTAAATTCATCTTGACTCTTTTTTTGCGGAAATACAGAATCACGATATCTATTCAACAGTAAAATCTCAAGTCAATAACATGTATTTTTGATGAGGCATTGATATCACAAAAAAATGACAAACAATGTATTATGTTGACGAGTGTCCTCAGACAATTTAAATATCTCAATAGCGGAGCATAATTTTTTCAAGTAACTTGCATTACAATTCTCATGACTATTACTTCTACAAAATATATTAAATTGAGTAAAATTGGATGACCGTGATTCAGTAGTTTCTGTGGAGTCAGTTGTGGCTGATATGGTTGCCTCTTATATTGATGTAGTATTAGATTCTAGTCATAATGGATGATGACTATGAAAATGATAGACGAAATGTGTCATATGATGCCTCGGATCTTGCTACTATAAGCATTCATCTAACCACACCTTTATGAATTTGAATGAATAAGATGTATCAATATGCAGAACTGAATTCCAAATTGACCTGATGATGGACTTTGAATAAGGCCGAAACGATCGTCTTAAATAACATGAAATTCGAATCAACTTATTGTAAACACACCCACACTGACATTTTGCATAAGTGAAGTTATTTTTATGCTTCCAACAATAAATATCATATCGGATACTATAAAGTCTAAAAGCAGTAATGTAATATGCGAAATCGATTGTGAAGTGATTGTAGATCGATGGATCAGCAAATGAAATCAGATCAGTCGAATTTCTAATTGGTGGACATCTATCTGTATTATATATGAGACAATGAAAAAGATTAGTGTAGTGCAATACCCTTAGAAGATATACTAGGAGGGTGTGGGTGGGTATGGGCAGCAGTTGCAAAATGCCTATCAAGCAGAATTCAGAATTCTGGACAGTTATGTGTTTTTTGTGATGGCTTTGCATTCTGACGATATTTTTGTAGAATTCTGGAAGAGTGTGCATATGAAATGGTGTCGTGATGATTGAATGACAGAATTTTGAATAAGAATTCTGTAGAACTTTATTATAATGGACAAATCTGCAGAATTCTGAATTCTGCTCAGTAGGCATTCTGGAGGCCCTCGGGTATGGGTGGAGTGTCTTCTTGACAGTGTGGGTGTTGGTTAAATGATACCCACACCCCACACCCAGACCCGCACCTACACACACCCCACACCTACGTCCCACACCAACCCACACCCATAATTCTACTAAAACAGTGAATGATAAAAATATATTGATAATCAATATTCGATCGAACTAATCAACTGATATCCCTCATATTTACTTAGATAAATGAGAATTTCTTTGATAAGTAATTAAAGTTACTTTAAACAGAAGTCTGCGGTAAACAATCTTTGTCAAGTAATCTGTAAGTGTAACGTAGACAATGAAAAGAACTTCACTCGATAGTTATATTGTTTCTTATCATTAATGTAGAGTTGTCGATTATTTTTGGCAAACACTCAACAAAGAACGCCAAAACTATAGACTTTCTTCGAGGTTTTGTTGGCAGACAGAGGTTTTTATTGACTTTTTTTATAGAAAAAAGGGGCGAAGATCGCTAAAAAAACCAGTTTCTGTCAGAATTTATCACACGGCTGTGAAAAATTACACAGAAGCTGTTTAAAATTTTAGCAGAAAGTTGAACATTTTTTTGCATTTTTGGTGAGGGTAAGATTTTTTCATCCCCATCCCTTTCTAATCGACAACCCTACATTAATGATAGAAACATACATTATTTTATTACGCGTACTGTTATACGACAAGATTTTCGTTCGTAACTATACTGATTGTAATTATTCAGGCTTTTCGACGTTGGAAATCGATATAGATCTGTCTTAATAAAATCAAGCATTATATCAAATATGCTGAAATTATCGATCAACTAAATTATCATGTCACAAAATGAAAATTTTAATTAGTTGAAATTAGACTTTATAAGTATTTGACTATCAAAGAACCTAAAACTTGCTCTAGTAATCTGTTCGGATACAAAGCTCATCTTGAACACCTTTGTATGTCTATGAAGATTAATGCCAAGGTTAAAATACCATCAATGGCTGCTCTGTCAATCACTAAATTAAAGATGTCTTCTAACAAATCACTAGTTCTAATGAGCAACCTTATTTTAAACATGCCTAATTCGCGACGTTTAGCAGTCAAGTCATATGTATATATTTATGAAGATTCAATAAACAAAACAAATCTAATTAGACAATAAGCTTGAAATTTTTTTTTGGTGTGACTACTTGTAAAAGTTGCATTTTACCCGTAACGGATAGATTGCATTTGCGCAAGTTGAGTCTTTCCAGTGATCGATTGCGTTCAAGCATTTTGACAAGTGAATTAACACTCGAATCAGTCACCAATTTGTTCCACTGAAGATCCAAATGCTTGAGATTACAATTATCATTCAAGAGTACATTGGCCAAGAGTTGTACTCCTTGATCACCTATTTGATTGTTGTATAGCCATAGATCAGTCAATGTTCGATTTCTTTTGAGTATTTCAGCTAAATATTGAACACCCCGATCTGTGATACAATTTGAGCCAAGATGAAGCTGCATGAGAGTTGAATCATTCGCCAAGAATGTACGTGTCAAAGTTTGTACACCCAAATCAGATACACAGTTGTTGCTAAGCCATAGATCTTTCAGTGTTGTGTTGTTGTGTAATAATGCATCGACTAAGATCATTATGCCTTGTGATGTGATCGCGTTACCATGTAATTGAAGAATCGTGCACTGTGTGTTCATCATTTGTTGAGTTACATTCGTCAAGTCTCGATCAGTCAATTTCTGTTGAGAAAAATCAATTGTCGAACATGATTCATCGTCGACAATCTTCTCGAGCAGCGAATGTACTAAAAAAGAATGATGTGCCAAAGTTGTCAGATCATTTCGCATATTTTTTAGGTCTCAGGAGTCCTGGAAAGATGATATATATCGAAATCGTTTTAGCTTGTGTCAAAAAGAAAAAAAATGACTGAATGGCATAAATTCGTGAAATGCAAAGTTAGACTATATTCCGGTACCTTGATTTATATTTAGAAGTGATCATAATTTAGCTGGAAAATCGTTTCTAAGAAATCTTGAAGATTACTTTTTGTGTACTCAAAAAGTGAGTACACTCTAGAATCGGTCAGTGTGTCCGTCCGTCCGTCCGTTTACACGATAACTCTTCCCAATTACACTCGATTGAGCTGAAATTTTGTTCACAGAATTGTCTCATCAATATCTCGGTCGAGTTCGAAGATGAGAAGGATCCGTCAAAAATGGCTGAGTTATCGAAAAAGTTGTCATTATTGACCAGACCAACCCTGGGGGGGGGGGGGGGAGAAGAGGG